ACATTGCATTGAATTATCTGAGGAGTGTGAAATTGTATGCTTGTACTTTGGAACTTTTTAGTAATGTTAGCTCTGTCTGTAGCAATTAATCTTTTCAAACTTGGGTAAGATATAATTGGAAAAATATATCTATGCTTTTTAAAGTTTTAAATTACTTATAAAACAGATGATTGGAACAGTGTATGAACAATGGAAACAAAGTATAGTAAACTTTGTGACATGTATAATTGAATTTACTATTAGGCTATTTAGCATTGGTCAATGCTAATCTTATGATTTTTAATTCCTTTTTTAAAAGATAAGATGATAAGATAACTCTGCTTATCAATGTGGCTAAAATTCATGTTGGGATATTATAATAGGCTTTGCTTATTATAATATCTGAAGATGGATTTTACCCAAAAATATTTAAAAATGTAGCCCCCAGGTTCTTACTGGATAATTTTTTATTCCAAAAAAAAAAAGAAAAAATAAATTTTGATTCTGATGAAACCGTGTTGTAGTTTAGTTTGCTTTATACAGACACACTACAGTGACTTTTTTCAAAACACTTGGCAGATTATTCATCTCTTTATTCAGTTGGGACGCTATTTACAAGTCGTGTTTCGGGCATTAGCCCCTCTTCAGCCAAAACTAAACATAAAATCAAACATGAGAAAATATACATATACATATGCAAATAAAACATTCTGTAGATATAACACATTTAAAAAAAACATACCTTAAAAGTACAGATTACAAACATACAGATGGCATACAAAATGGACTGCATCATATTCCATAGATCGAGTGAAGAATGAACAGATTGACAAGTCTCGAGCCTAACTGCTTGACAACAGGACTTTCAAATTTGACGGTCTTTGATTTTATATAAATAATGTTCAAATAAATAAACTGAATTTATAAACAATTTATAACAGCATTTGTTATACCTGTAATTTACATCTGGACACATTACCCAAATTCACACAGTAACTGTTGCAGCTTTTTTAGATAAGTCTCACACACAGTTATTCCAACGACACAATCTGGTCTGCTAATTTACATATATATCAGTGAAATGATTTGAAACTACTTCAGTATTCAATAAAAAGTTGTGTACAAACAAAAATTATTAATATTAGCCTATAATATTTCTGGATTTTTACAATTATTATTTATGTATACATGAACTTTGAATCTTGATGATTATCATCACAATTATATTCAATAATCTCTAACACATTTATAATATTTTTACCCAGTTCTCACTAATTTTGATACTTAAATTTTTATTTATACAATTGTTATTTTTATTTTTAATAATCTCAACACTCTCTTTAAATTTTCTGTTACATGTTTTCTTTTCTTAATGTGAAATCTGTATATTAGATTTATGAATGTTGCAATCGTTTAGTACACAATGATCGTGGAATACTGAGTTTAATTGGTGATACTTCAAATCAGACATATGTTCTTTAACCCATATTTTTAGTTTGCGTTTCGTCTCACCTATATAAAAACTGTTGTTTTTACATGTACTGGTACATGGTATTTTTATACACAATATTTTTCATGTCTTTATTTATTTTTTGTTTTTTCATACTTTGTTTGGCCTTCAACCTGGAGAATAAATTTTCAAATTTTGGAGTGAGTTTCATGTTATTTTTCTTCATTTCTGTATCTATTTGCTCATATATATTTTTTATGTATGGAAAACCTAAATATTTTATTTTTACTTTTGTTTTTTCATCTTTTGTTTTGGTAGCATTATTTATTATTTGTTGCCATTTGTTAATTAATCTGATTAGATATCCATCTAAATTAAATTTTTTCTTTAAATCATTCATATGTTTATTTTTATTAATTTCGTTACTAGTTATATTTTGTATTTTTTTATACTTCATATAAAAAACATTCTTTTTGATATACAAAGGTATATTAGAGTTATATCTTATTTGAATATTTATATCTATATTGAACATGGTTTTCTGAAAGGCTCAAATTCTAACTTATTTTCTTTTCTTGTGATTACGACATCTAGGTACCATATACTGTTGTCAACGATATTTGCTTCTTCAATTGTAAATTGTATTTCTTTATCTATATTATTTATTATTTTTTCTATTTCTTTAATTTTAACTTCTGCATCATTGTATATAATTAAAACATCATCAACATATCTTTTGTAATATTTTATATCTGGTATATTTTTTATTTTTTTCATCTATATCAATCATTATTATTTCTGTGAACTTTGGTCCAATGACCGACCCCATACTAATTCCATCCTCCTGTGTATAATATTTTCCTTTGGCCTCAAAATAATTACTCTTATAAGTGAATTCCAACAATTCTATAATGTCAGGTTCTACATTTATTTTTTTTGAGTTGGTTCTCGATTAATTCCCATTTTATTGATGGATACATATCTGTCACATCTAGACTGGCTATTTTTGACGTATTTTCTATTTTTACTTGTTTGAGATCATCTAGAAGTTCATCTGTGTTTTTGATAGAATATTTCGAATTTTCATAATCTTTGAGCTTTTGTTTCAAAAATTTTTCTAAATTATATAATACAGCAAATTTAAAGTCTACTGTTGGTCTTACATTTTCACCTTTCTTATGGGTCTTAAGTTGTATATTCAGTCTTGGTGTTCTGTCATTATCCTCATACATGATAAATTCTTTTTCATTTTTGGTAATTTTTTTAAGTTTTTGTAATTTTGTGTATTTTTTAATTCATCATATATAATTTCTTTTGGGTTAATCGGTAGTTCTCTAAATTTTTTCTCTTTTACAATTTCTAGTTTTTATAACTTCATCCAATCTTGAGTCACTACAATAACTTGTTTAGATTTATCTACTCTTATAATATTTAGCTTATTATTATTTAGAAATGTATATAATTTTTCTATCTCGTTTATATATTTATAATAATTTTTATCCTTTATCTTTGTTTTTTCTTTTTATTTCACAGTATATTTTTTAATTATATTACTTAAATTAATTTTTAGAATTTTAGAATCTACCTTTGTTAACTCATTACACATATGATCTAAACCAGGTACTATATCTATAACTTCCCAACTGTTAGGTCCATTAAAGTCCAATCCCTTCTGTATTGTCTCGAACATCATCAGGAATCTCAATTTGTGTTTTGTTCAACACTAGAGATTTTTTCCACTCTAATATCTCTTTCATTGAAGGATACTTGAACTTTTAATCAATTTATTATGTTTATTTATTTTATATCTATCGACATTGTTTTTGTGTGAATTTTTTGTTTTTTCGTCGCTATCTTCAAAATAAACATTCTGTTTCTGTTTATTATATTTTTGCAGATTATGTTTTAATCTTCTAATTTTAATATATTTAAATTTTATAGCAGATTTTAATATTTTTTGGTTTATATAATTCCTATCACGTGTTGGAATGTTTTCATTGATAGACTTTGGAAGAGAAAGTGTTCTTAACTGTCTGTTCTCTTTAAGGTGCACTTTTAGGTAATGTAAATCTACTAACAGTCTATCTGTCTCACCTTGTATCTTCTCTTGATATTGAACTATACACATGTTTTCTTTTTTTGATGCTGACTGCCGTTTCTATATTAATCATTTTGTTTGATTCTGATGAAACCGTGTTGTAGTTTACTTTGCTTTATACAGACACACTACAGTGACTTTTTTCAAAACACTTGGCAGATTATTCATCTCTTTATTTAGTTAGGATGCTATTTACAAATCGTGTTTCGGGCATTATCCCCTCTTCAGCCAACTAAATGTAATGTATCTGGATATAAATTACAGGTAAAACAAATGCTGCTATAAATTGTTTATAAATTCAGTTTATTTATTTGAACATTATTTATATAAAATCAAAGACTGTCAAATTTGAAAGTCCTGTTGTCAAGCAGTTAGGCTCGAGACTTGTCAATCTGTTCATTCTTCACTCGATCTATGGAATATGATGCAGTCCATTTTGTATGCCATCTGTATGTTTGTAATCTGTACTTTTAAGGTATGTTTTTTTAAATGTGTTATATCTACAGAATGTTTTATTTGCATATGTATATGTATATTTTCTCATGTTTGATTTTATGTTTAGTTTTGGCTGAAGAGGGGCTAATGCCCAAAACACGACTTGTAAATAGCATCCCAACTGAATAAAGAGATGAATAATCTGCCAAGTGTTTTGAAAAAAGTCACTGTAGTGTGTCTGTATAAAGCAAAAAAAATAAATTGTCTGTTGTTTTATTTACTTTGTGTTTGATAAACCTAATGATAAAGTAAATCATTATTGATACATGAAAACCCATAAGCACTAAAAATCAAATTTTATAGGAGCAACAAAAGTCAATTAATATTGCATATAATATCATAAGATTTTTTCATGTAGAGGTTTATTATAATTTATAATCATGTAATTACCTAGATTTCTATTGACTAAAATCAATAACAGAAAAAAAAATTTAGTTGTTTACAAGGTTTCCTTACTTTAGCAATGTGAATTGCCTATTATATAAGAGCTTATTACAAGTAACAATTCTATTGATTGAATGTTTCTGAGATTTTTGCACAACTATGGCATAAAACTTATTTGACTGTTAGTGGTACTTGAGACATCTTTCATGTGTCAATGATATCTTGTTTAATGCATATTCAAACTGTGTTAACTCATATAATGACTTTTTCCAAGTTATAACATCATTGTTTTACATAATGAAGATATAAGACAGAAATTGAGGATATGTTGAGTCCTGAAAAGTTTGTTTTAAATTCTTCATAAAAATCTCTGCTAAAATTGACAATAAAGGAGACCACATTAGGACACCTTTTTGTTGCATATAAATTAAAATTGTTCTTTTCTAAAATCATCTCCTGAATAATTAGAAGATAAAACTTTTCAGAGTAATGATCTTACATGTAATAATAAGGAATTGTATTATTTGAAATATACAAAACTTGTTTATTTAAATTTAAATTAATTATATTTTTGAATAACTTTATTTATTACAGATACTATTAGATATCTTTCACTTCATGACAACAAATATATCAGGTATTTTTCTGGACATTCGAAAAAGTAAGTGCTAAAAATCTGTTTATTTTAGTTTCTTAACATTAAATATTTCTAGAAAACTTGATATTAACGTTCTTTAGATAATTAAATTGTAAAATAGTGAAGATAAAAAATGCTAATAATAGCAAAAATTTTAGTTTATTCAAGGGAAATATGAGCGATGATGGCATTTTACCTATCACATTAAAAAAAACTTTATTGAAAGTAGACAATTTATTAAGTGCAGAGTATTTTCTTTTAATTATTAAAAACTTCAAGTTTAATTTTTTAGAAATAATAAATTGTATTATATTGTGCAATGGAGTCAGTATACAAGTGCTTTGACTCCAACTTCTCAGTTTATGGTACCTCCAACTCTTTTATTTGTATATCAGTATATGAAATAAATAATAAATTATTATCTGTGAAATAAGAAATTTTAACATGTATATTATTTATATTAAAATTTAAATTTATTTGAAGTCAGTGTTCGTTTATTTTTACTGACTCTGACTCCATATTGTGAGAGATTTGACGTTTTACTACATACACAAACTCTGTAGACTCACATGATAAAGTATTTTTGTTTTAAAAAATATATTATGGCTTTTTCATGTGACTTTTTATATAATATGCAATATGATTTTCTATAATAGTTTTGAATATATCATATTTTGTTAAATTCTATGCATTTCTGAAAAAAGAAATCTATGATTGTCTAATCTGTGGTTGATGAACTTGTTGAATTTGTGATTTTGAGGTATTATATATAGATCAGATTGTTTAAATAATAGATTCTAATAACTAATTATCAGTGTTAAATGTGATTCAGTATTGACTAAGGATAATTAACAGTTTATGTTATCAAAAGAAAATATAAAATTAGACAGAAGGAAGAATACAATGATTATATCACAATGGAGATACAATATGTTTGGTGAATATGTATTAAATGAAAGAAAAACTATTGGAAGAATGAAATTGGTTAGCTTTATACGACAATGAAAGTGGAGAACTAGAGAAATTTTCTAATTTATATAAAAGAAAGAGATAATGTAAATTTTATTCATTATCAGGTATATTAAAAACAGCATGGTTTTTCTACCCAGAAGAATCTAAATTTAAATTATAACTAAAACTAGTTGGATTATAATTTTTTTGTTAGATTGTTTTGATGAGAATGTTAAATCAACATTGTATTGATGAAAATTTGATAGAAATCCATTGATTTTAAACAATTTATTTCAGAAAAACTCTAAATATAAATCATTAATTTTGAAAAATCAGTTTTTTCTTATGATAACAGTATAATATATTTTGGAAAATGTGAAATATCAGTGTGTTTTTTTTATTGATATATTTAACATAAATATCAAAGAATAACATTTCAAAGGATGAGTTAAAATTCCTGCCCAACTCAGTTCAATTTTATATGATGTTAAGTGACTTTTAGTGACTTTTAGTCACTTAACATCATATAAAATTGAACTGAGTTGGGCAGGAAAAATTTTGACATGATAGAAATATGTTTTGCTTAGGGAGAAACCACCTGGGGTACATTTGTAAAGTCAAATGATGTTCTCTTTAATCTTATTTTCACTAGACATTTTGACTGATTCATTTACAACAAAATGGCTGTTTCTAAAATCAAATTTATGAATGCTTTTAGTGCAGTCTTAGCTGAAATGTTTTTCTTTGATTGCTTCAGATGGACAGTTATTTATATCATTTCACTTTTAATCCACAATTTAAACACTTGAGTAGATTTAGTATCATCGATATTGCTGGGTATCATTTTCTTCACAAACTAACGCTTTCCTTTGTGAATCTCATTAGAGTTTTGTTTGAAACATTACCAACATCAAGCATGAGCACTGAATGAAATTTGTACTTTATAACTGACTTGTTAAATTAATAATGCATTTAACTCATTCGACTTTATTAGTGTTTCAATTAGATGTCTGCCATGTTGAATTCACCTCAAAATGATTAAATGGGTATGGGGTGATGTGATACATGATATGATGATACAATTTCAAGAGAAATGCAATTGTACAGTTATTCTCTGTTTAATTTATTTATTTAGATATACTGGGAAAACCCATGATGTGGGGAATACATAGAACAATACAAACTACAATAATTACAATTTAAAAATTAATGCAGAACAAAAAAAGCAGAGTATACATAAATAAAATACAAATTATACAATAACAATACTAAGAAAAAATATTCTAAACAAAATATCAACATAAAACATAAAAATTATGGGGAGAACTATCCAAACAATAAAAAAACAAAATTATATAAAAAATTGACTACACTCGCCTAAAAGACAAAAAAGAAGTTAATTATCACGTCAAACAGCAGATAGTCTCCCAAATTTTCTTAGCCACGAACACACATTTAAAGGAAAAACTGACGCCACCTCTAGGTAAAATCAAATGCTCCAATATGCAAGACAAAATCAGAATATACGTCACTCTACTCAAATGACCACTGAAACAAAATAAATCAGCATAAAATTACCTAAATAATAGTTTAACTTTCTGAATAAAAATAATTAAATCATGATTGTGTAAATTACCAATAAGCTCCAAAAATTTTTCAAATGAAATAGTAGAGACACCAAAAATACTTTGATGAAGTTTTCTTGAACTAGTACATCTAGCTATCACGTGAAACTCATCCAATAACTGATCACCTGGGCAATGTATGCAAATATCTCTGCAATAAAAATAACTCTTACTTTTAACCTTGTAACCGGAGTGGTTGTGTAATACGTCAGCGAACGTTTTTGATGCCCCTTCTGGGCTCTTTCTCAGGCTTTTTCTATAAATACTGAGCTGGATGTTGAAAATTGAATGCTTTCTTTTGAGCTATTTATCTTTCGAATCATCGCATGCAGCAACCTTCGAGCCAATTTAAAAAGAAAAGAGTGATGTTTTGCGTACAGCGCATGTGTGCTGCAGTACTTTCGATGTAAACTTTTAAATGTTATCATCTAGCAGGATCTGCCATGCTGTTGAAAGGGCTATCTCTTCTTTAAAATTGATGCATGTTGTGTTGCATCCTGCTCTAAACATCTCCATAGCCTCCAAGCATTTGAGATGTTCAGGGTGGGTGGTAGTGAGGCTAATATGCGCCACGTCAAAGTCCACCATGATGTCCTGATCGGTCGCTTATGTTGAGAGAGCCATTGTAGTTCTGTTATGTTGTATGTCAGCCTTATGTTCTTTAATCCTAATCCCCAATGAATGTCTGGTTGAGCCAATGTAAACCGTTTCTCTGTTGAACCTGTGGTCTCTGAGTGGGATGGTATAAATTCCAGGTGGTTTGACCAGGTTCGGTGGGTTTTTTCCGTTAGCCAGGAGACGTCAGGTCAATATAACCTACAGAAGATGCCAAACCATTTTCCAAATACTATGTAACAGAAAAGACCCACCGAACCTGGTCAAACCACCTGGAATTTATACCATCCTGCTCAGAGACCACAGGTTCAACAGAGAAACGGTTTACATTGGCTCAACCAGACATTCATTGGGGATTAGGATTAAAGAACATAAGGCTGACATACAACATAACAGAACTACAATGGCTCTCTCAACATAAGCGACCGATCAGGACATCATGGCGGACTTTGACGTGGCGCATATTAGCCTCACTACCACCCACCCTGAACATCTCAAATGCTTGGAGGCTATGGAGATGTTTAGAGCAGGATGCAACACAACATGCATCAATTTTAAAGAAGAGATAGCCCTTTCAACAGCATGGCAGATCCTGCTAGATGATAACATTTAAAAGTTTACATCGAAAGTACTGCAGCACACATGCGCTGTACGCAAAACATCACTCTTTTCTTTTTAAATTGGCTCGAAGGTTGCTGCATGCGATGATTTGAAAGATAAATAGCTCAAAAGAAAGCATTCAATTTTCAACATTCAGCTCAGTATTTATAGAAAAAGCCTGAGAAAGAGCCCAGAAGGGGCATCAAAAACGTTCGCTGATGTATTACACAACCACCCCGGTTACAAGGTTAAAAGTAGGAGTTATTTTTAGTACATTCCAGTGTGTGGAGACGAATAAGTATCTCTGCAATAATTCTGTAAGACAAAAAAGAAGTTAATTCTCATGTTAAACAGTGGATAGTCTCCCCTATCTAACTTTAATCTGTGAAAAGTTAAGGAATGAATCTAACCACTTTTTTCTTTTTCAAGTATGTTAAACAATGTTTGGATGCCTGTAATGCATGGGAAATAAATACAGATTATTTTAATGTCTGGAGAAAGGAGCTCACATGACATTACAAGTGATTTTAATAACAATATCCTTGTAGAGAATGTGTGTCACATTTAGCAGTTGTACAATTGCTGTAAAAGTTCCAAAAGATATGATCATTCTAAGGTAAAGCACAATTTAGGTGTCATGTGAACTTCTCTTTCAGACATCAAGATGATTTAGATTTACTTCAGCTATAAACCAACACAGTGCTTATTTCCAACTATTTCACTAACGTTTTCGAACTTCGTTCTTCCTCAGGTGAAACGGATCGATGTTATTCGAAATTTGAACGCAATGTTCTAATGAAACTCGTGCAATCATCGTGTTAAACTTGCGCATGCTCTGTAGATGAAAGGATCGTTTTTGGCTTCTCAAGTGTCGTAAATAAGCTTTTGCCATGCCATCGACAAGGACAGTTCATCTTTATTGTTTATACAGTTGTCTTCTTTTGATGTTTTATAGATATATATCGCTTCCATCCAGCGCAAATGGTGTATTAGCTGTGTGGTGTAAATTATCTTTGACTCGTCAAATACAGCTGCTATATCAGGGTCCATGGCAAATTGTGCTAGTGCTGTCGAACGCGGGCACTGGATACAGAGATCAACAACATTAATATCATGGCCAAAAGACATGGATATAATAGTAGGACAGCCATGAGGATCGAAAAAATGATGCATTCATGAAGAACAGATCTAACAGAACAGCAAGGGCAACAAAGTAACAAGCAGAAAGACAGA